GGAGAAGGAAACAATTAGACAATGCTGAATGTAATGTATGAAATCAAAACAGAAATAAAAGAAAAGTCTCAAAAAAATCTCCACACAGCAAACTATGTTGTAGTTTTCTGTTAAGCTAATAAGTTAAAAAGTAAATTAATAATTAATAAAAGATGAGAACGGTTAGCCCAAAAACCATATTTATTATGTTCTAAAATAGTTGCTCATTCTCATCTATATTTTCTAATAATGAGTTTAGTATAAGGTCTAAGTTAACATTATATGAATACGATACTCTATTCTAATTGTAATTCGTGGGGCAGCTTGTTTGGGGTGTGTCTTGACTCTTGAGTACCCACATTGATTAGTTAATGAGTATAATATATATAAGTTTGGGATGATTGTCCCTTGTGGGAATGGGTGACTAAGACCTAATGTAATCTCGCACTAATCTAAGCAGTTAACAGCAATAAAATCTCGGCCGCTATCCAATATTATTTTTAAACATGATTTACTGATTAATGTGCTTAATGAAATAATTATAATGACCAGAACTAACAAGGAAGGTGAGGAAATAAATATAATGACCACATTTTAATAAACAAACTCAGTATTCCCTCTGTCCCAATTTAATAATCCGTATTTAGTTCGGAAAAAGGTTTAAGAAAATTGAAATTTTGGGGTTAAAGTGAAGCAGAGGAGAAAAACAATATGAGCCACAAAAACCTTTCCAAAAGTAGAAAGACGACTATTTTTTGGGGACGTCCCAAAAGGAAGTGAGGACTATTTATTTGGAATAGGGGGAGCATTACTTTTGTCCTACAATGGAGTCTTTTTGAGTAGGTGATTCTGTTGGATTTTAAATTCACCTTGAAACGTGCACTAATCAATGTTTCCGTTTAACCAAACAATATGCCTCCGAGCTTGTTTTTTATCTCATCTCTTTTTTTCACTTATTTTTAATGTCATACCAAGTATTTTGCAATTTATTCTCAGCTGAAAACCATTTGGCAATGTTTCCAATTTTGTTCTTAGAAACATTTTGTCATTGAAGATGTTGAATGTTATTCCCTTTAGAGCAACCATACATACACAAAATTTCAAAAAGAAGAGCGCTATTTAAAACTTTCTAAACAAAGAAAAGAAAAGTAATTTTTTTAATTTATTTTTGGATGGAATGGTATTTTGAATTATCATGCTTCCTTTTTTCAGGGTTGATAGAAAAGAAGAGAAATTGAATTGAACATATAAAATCAACGCAATCTAAATGGGGTAGGGATAGTTAGGAAATGTGTACTATTCTATTTTTAATTACCTCTTCATTCGATTGTGATTTTGTTACTTCAGCACTTTCAAATCCTGAAGCTAACAAAGACATAAAACACAATATGTGAAATTTACCAAATCAAAGTTAATAACAGATGAATCTATGGTAAAATTTGATGAAAGTTAGACAGTGATATAATCTAAGAGAGTGATACAATCGAAGAGTCCAATTAGATTATTAATTCTGGTCATTATATTTCCTCACCTATCTTGTTGCTTCTAGCCATTATACTTAATTCCTTGAGCAAATAAACTCCAGAAAATCATGCTTAGAAAGAGTATTAGATAGTGAGAGGGATTATATTGCTGCTAATTGCTTGAATTAATGCAAGATTACATTAGGTCTCAGTGACCCCCAATCCCATAAGGAACAATCATCCCAAATTTATATACTATACGTATCAACTAATCAATGTGGATACTCAAGACACAACCAAACAAGCTGCCCCACAAATCACAATTAGAATAGAGTATCATATGCATATCATGTTAACTTAGACCTTACAACATATTCATTATTAGAAAATATAGAGGAGAATGAGCAACTATTTGAGAACGTAATTAAGAAAATTTTAGGGCTTACCGCTGCCATTGTTTATTAATTATTAATTTACTTATTAACTTAACGAAAAACTACAACAGGTTGTTGTGCGCACAAACTTCTTGCTAAGAAGCTTTTCTTGAGAATTTTTTAAAAAGTTTTTTCATCTTTTATTTCTATTTTGATTTCATAACATTACATTCAGCATGTTCCAATTTTTTCTTTCTATTTGCTTTCTTGTTGTTTGTTGATCTGCTTTTAATAGAAATATTTCAAATAAAAATCTGAATCATATACTACGTATGATATATGATTTCTTTATTGAGTTTTGGTTTAAGCTCTTTTTAATATTGTTAAGTATATTTGGTCAGAGTTCATATTTGCTCCAAATTAATCCCAATTCCCTTAGGTCTAACATTTCCTTAGTAGACAAAATTCAAATGATAGAATTGGAATTGACGACAACAATTTAAATTCTGATGTTTGGTAGCACAGACATATGTAGATTTGGAATTGGTCGTGCCCAAAATAAATTAGAATTAGAGAATTATTTTCCATCCTAATCTATTCCATAGAATTTCAACTCTTAATTCAATTCCAATTCTGTCAATTCTTATATCAAACGGACACTAAGCCTGTGTTTGGTACAAAGAATTCAAATTATGAAATTGGAATTAAAGATTTTAATTGGATAGCACAAAAATATGGATTTGGAATTGGGGGTGCCAAAACTGAATTAGAATTGGAGAATATAATTTCATCCAAATTAATTCAATAGAATTTCAATTCCCAATTCAATTTTAATTCTATGTACCAAACGAATCCTTTAAGAAATTGAATTGGGAGTTTGAATTCTCATTCCACCCTTAAATTTGGCAATAAAAATTCCAAATCAGCATTCTTTGTGCTAACAAATAGTTGAATTGGAATTGTTGTTCTCAATTTCAATTCTGAATTCCGTGTACCAAATGGAGCCAACCATAAACCAAAATATGAAAGTGACGATGAAATTACCTGGGCCAAGACGCAAGGGTGAAGCAGCGGAAAGGAATTGGATGTATTGTGTAAGAAGGAAAAAGCAACAAGTATCACTTTCTTTCCGTCATTTTAAGAAAAAAAACAGCACGGCGGCGCTTCCTCTCTATTGGCAAGCGTGGAGGTACTGTGAAGAGAGTAGGGGCGGCAAGGCGGTGGGTGAGTGGAAGACACAGTAACTTCCGGCCAGAAAACGGAGAAAAGGACCCATTGCTACGGCGGCCGGAACTGGGGAGAAACTCCACCTAGGGCTGCTGGTGAAGAGGTTATAGAGGGTTTCTGGATTTTCTGTTTGGGCCTGCAAACTGCAATTCCGTTATCATCTTGGGCATAGGTCCATATTCTATCGTCCCAATAAGTCATTAGAGTTTAAGACCTCGTTTGGATAGCGCAGAATTTGATACGAGTATTTTTTTTATATTGAGTTTATTTTTAATTTTTTTTGCATTTGGATGAAGTTTAATTAGCCTTCGGGTTTCATATATTTCATCATGCAAACCTTCCTAATGGAATTATTCGTATTGATGGGATTTAATACCATGACTATGGTGACACGAAAAACTTATAAAAATAATATAGATTCTAATATTATTGTATTAGATTGATTCAGTTTGAGTTACAATGAATAATCAATCTCTTATTTATAGTTTTACGCTACTACGTAAATAGTATATAATTTGTGCGCTACATTATTGGACTGATTGATTATAGTGCGTTAGTCGTGGATAAAGAATTAGTCACCAATTGCTCTTCAAATCCACGATCAAAGGGGTTCGCGCTCTCCTTTTACTTTGTGAGGAATGATGACAAATCCTGTTTTCACGGGCTAGGCTTGGCCCATTAACTCGTTCAACCCTTGGGCTTGATCCATTTTCATAGTCTAGATCTGGGCTTTACCTCCGTTGAACTCCGGATAATATACTTGGGCCTTTCCGGTCTATTTCATGGACCCAATATTCATCACTTATATCTCTTGAATTTGGAAAAATAGAAAATAATTTTTGAAAATCTATTTCTGAAAAATGAATTCTAGAAGATGAAGCTTGGCAAATAAATTTACATTTTGGTGGTTGGGTTGAAGCTTCAAAATGAATACAAAAGCTATTATTTTTTAACTATAACATACTCCCTTTGTTCCAATTTTCAATTGTTTGTTTATTATTTATAGTGTCAAACTAATTCACTTTTATTACCTATTTCATTACTTATTTGATAAATATCACATCTTCTTTCGTAGAATATTTGATATACCGAGCACTTTTTTTTTTAATGTCACCAAATTTTCAAATAAATTAAATTAAAAATAATTTTTGTCAAAAAAAAGGAACACAAAATCCTCAAGTGAGGTTCATTGTCTATTGATAGATGGAACGACTATTTAATTTTTTTTCTTCATTTTAAGATTAACAATAAGGATGGAAAGTTTGATGATATTGTTCTTATTTTTTTCATCTTCCAAACAAGAAAGATATCCTAACTATTTTATTTTTCTCCTTCTCTTATTTTACATCTCCCAAACAAAGGATATATGAATTTGGACTCAAGCGTTTCTTTTGTCTATTTATAAATAAATTCATGTGTCTTATTGTAAATTGAGAGTAGTGAATTTAGGTAATTGACAATGATTTGTTATGAAATTTGTCTTATCAAAATTCTTGCAGACTCATGCTTATCATTTTTCATTTATCTTACAACTTTCCAAAAAAATAAACAAAGTTTCATATTTAAAAATCACACAAAACTTTAAGAAACTATAAAAGATAAAAAATATTTTATTTTATTAAATAATCAATGAAACTATACAAATAAATACTAAATAAAAATTACAGTGATTTTAGAATAATACGGAGTACATAATAACAATCTTTTAGGAAGGGAAAGAGTGAAAGACTACTTTTTGTTGTAAAATTTGACCTAAAAATAAAAACAATCGTGGTAGAGATACAATAAAAATGTATTTTAAAATGTACACCAAAAATATAACCAATAATTTGAGATTAAATATTCATAAAAAATGTTATTACGATTCAAAATTTTACACTAGTAGACCAAAAGAATACACACAAGTGGAGTATAATTTGAGATACAAATTTTGATAGAGATAGATAGAAACCAGAGAGTAGCTTAATTCAAACAAAAATGGTTAATAATGGAGATTGCTCCAATTTGGAGGATTGGGTTGAGTCAGTGGCAAATTGTTTGGGAAAATGTCAACGAAACAGTGGTTCAAGCGCATTTTGTTCGCCCTAATCCTAGCGGCATCCACATCCGAGCGCCGCTACTCTCTGGCACTTTCGGGACCGGAGGCTTCGTCGGAGCTGAGTCGGGACCTGTTGGACTCGGCCAGAGCTCCCCAGTTCTTCGATTGGTTGAAACGGATCAGGAGGAGTATCCACGAATACCCGGAATTAGGGTTCGAAGAGCATCGGACGAGTCAGCTAATTAGAAATGAGCTTGATGCGCTGGGAATCGAATACTCCTGGCCGGTTGCGACCACCGGAGTGGTCGCTGCTATTGGCTCCGGCGGTCCTCCCACTGTTGGCTTAAGAGCCGATATGGATGCTCTCCCTCTTCAGGTACTTCTTCTTCTTCTTCTTTAAATAATACTCCTACTTCGTTTGAGAAAATTGAAATGTGTATTGTTCTAAATTTTTTTTGAAGGAAGAGAAATGATGTTAATCTTCCATTCTTCTTATTAGAAACAAATAAGCAAATTGTGAAATTTGTTTTGATAGGTAGTACTAGAATTACGAGATAAGTGTTTGGTGTAAGATGTGCCATGTAAGTGTTGTAGTGAATTAAGCTATTTGTACACCAAAAATTGTACTCCAATTTGTACCCCGAAAGCATGCTAGTGTGATGCTAGTGTGGTATGGTTTATATTGACACAAAATGTCACTGCAAATTTTTTGATTGAACTAGCATTTTGTGACATGTGAAATTCATTCAGATCAACTTCGTACCTCTTTCGAATGAGTTGTGAACCGCTAAAATACTGGTGCATCCTTTTGGGGTACAACTTGAGGTACACTTCTTGGTGTACCCCTAACATGGTTGTAATTTTAAAGTAGAAATATGTGTTGATGTGTTTCGGCTTTATATTCATGATGCATCTTATCACCACATATTTTTGACAAAGTTCAATTTTTGTTTTAAATAAAGGAATTAGTGGAATGGGAACATAAAAGCAAGATCGATGGTAAAATGCATGCATGTGGTCATGATGCTCATGTTACCATGCTGCTTGGGGCAGCTAAGTTGCTTCAGAGCAGAAAGGAGTATTTGAAGGTATGGTAAATGAGAAAACAATTGAAGAATTCCATTTCAATAACACAAACTACATTTGTACATTTGTATAAGTGCCATTCTTTATCTAAATTGAAGGGAACTGTTAAGCTGGTCTTCCAACCTGCCGAAGAAGGCATGGGTGGTGCTCTCCATATGATAAAGGAAGGAGTAATCGATGATATTGAATCCCTGTTTGGGCTCCATGTTTGGCCAGGTTTGCCTGTTGGTACAATCGCTTCGAAAGCAGGGCCCTTACTTGCAGGATCAAACAGGTTTTCAGCTGTAATACAAGGTCGAGGAGGGCATGCAGCGGCCCCACATAAGACCAGAGACCCTGTTATTGCTCTATCTATGGCCATTCTTTCCCTCCAACAGCTTGTTTCACGTGAATCTGATCCTCTGGATGCGAGGGTATGCTGTCCTTTCCACATATGCGACTGTTAGAGTTTGCTTCATAACATTTCCTCTCTTTTATGTCATCGGCTTTTGATATTTTCTCCGTTTTTTTTTTGAATTTTAAGAATGTTGGTTGGACTAGTTTATGCTGGGGTGTTTTTGTCTTAGGTTGTTCCTTGTGCATGTGTACGCTCTGTGCCTGGCGTCTAGTACTCTAGTTATGATATGTGTGTTATTTGTATCTAGCCATGCTCTTACTCTGGTCGTGATAATGTGTTTACTTTGCTGGTGCTTATGTGTGTTGAGCCGGAAGTCTTTTTGAAACAACCTCTCTAAGCAGGGGGTAAAGTCTATGTACACTGTACATAGACTATTGTACACACACTTCAACCCTACTTATGTGAGATTTATTGGGTTTGTTATTGTTGTTGAATTTTAAGAATATTTGGCAGCTCTTGTGGATAAATGATTCATGTTATTTGTTATGATATATACTTCTCGTCTCCAAAAAAAGAGAGTACTGTTTTAGTAAGGTACAAGTTTTTGTTTAAAACTTTTAAGGGTGAACCTGTCTATTTGTTATAAATGGGAAGGATATAGCCAAATGAGGGGTAGATTTAGCAACACCCTATAGAAATAAAAAAAGCGTCAATAAACAACATTTTCCATTTTGGTTAATTAAGTCTACCACAATCGAAGTCCTTTGAGATTCTTGTTATAAACTTGACCACAAATAGATTATTCTTGTTATATTATTCTGCGCAGGTGGTATCAATTGGATTCGTGGAGGCGGGTCATGCCGAAAATGTGATCCCAGATCAAGTGAAGTTTGGTGGGACTTTTCGTTACTTGACTTCTGATGGTTCTTCCCATCTCCAACAAAGAATCAAAGAGGTAATTCTACTTTTTATACGGGGAGAGGGACACTCTTGGTCAATTGATTAGTGTCTACACTTTCAATCCTGAAATATGTGTGCCTACTGAAAACCGGTACCCCCAACTTGTTCCAGATAATAGAGACACAAGCAGCCGTGAACCAGTGCAATGCAACAGTGACCTTCATGTCGGGGGAACAGACACCCTACCCTCCAACAGTTAACAATCAAGAAATGTATGATCATGCCAAGACAGTAGGAGAAGTGTTGCTGGGTGAGGGAAATGTGGGTCATGCCAATATCACAATGGCTGCTGAGGACTTTGGCTTTTATGCACAGAGAACAAAAGCTGCTTTCTTTTTAATTGGTTCAAGAAATGAGACAGTGATGAAATCTGTTGAAGGGCTTCACAGTCCTCACTTCACTCTGGATGAAGATGTTCTGCCCATTGGAGCAGCTCTTCATGCTTCTGTTGCCATTTCTTACTTGGATGGCCATTAGATAGGATTGATTACCCGTCATATGTGGTGCAATTTAGACTTGCACAAACTCGGGTCGGCTTATCTGGCCCGCCCATCCCGCCTTTAAGAAACGGGCAAATTTGGACAACTATATGTACTCGTGCCTGCTAGCCTGGCGCGATTTGCAAAATAATATGGATGGGTTTGGGAATTGATTTCGTCCCATATGGACCAGTTAGCCTGCCCACATCATTTATATATATTGAGTTGTGTGTGTGTGTGTGTGTCACACATTGTATATTATTACAAACATTTATGTATATTGGAGCATCGATAATTCTAGATTGTTGCGTGGTTTAACAATTACACTTTATTAAATAAATTATATTTAGTCTCTGTTCATTTGGGTTAGATTTTGGAATAAATTGGAAGAAGTTGGAAGAAAGTGGAATGAGTTTCAAAAAATTGGAAGGTAATTTTTCCAACCAAAGGGAGAGGGCCTTATTTTGATGTGTGCTTAGAGAACATCATTTGTGAAATTTACTCTATTTCTATTCCGAATAAAAATGGACTGATTGCCAAAAAAACATCTTTTTTGTTAGTACTCCCTATTTGTTTTGTAACTACATTGTATTTAAAAAGTTGACACAGAAAAAAGTAGTCTAATCTTAAGAAAATTTTTGAAGGGACAAAAAAAAAATTGAAGAGAATAATTGTTCAATGTAAAATGTTTGAGCATCTGGTGTTTCCTGCAGGACTTTCACTACCAATAATACATGATGAAAGCTTGAAGATAATTAACGAACAATGTGGACCTTTTTGTTTTTAAGGATGATAATAATAATGTTGTCCTTCAACCCCCACCAAATGTTTGACATCAACTGTTTGTAGGGGTGTTCATCGGTTCAAGACCGGACCGAACTGGACCGACTCAGACCAGACCAAAGACCTAATTGATTAAAATCACGGACTGAAAAACGGACCTAAATCTATTCGGGTTTTGACCGGACCAGATCGAAATACTTAGGACCAAACCGGTCCGGAACAATAGGACCGAATAAAAATGTATTTTTTTAATTATTTTGATCAATTAAATATACTTTAGGTTTTGATGGTTTGTCTTTCGAAAAAAATATTTTAGGCTTTTTATTTTGTAGCGTACAAATAGGGAAAAAAATAGACAATCTAAAACTAGATACACAACATGGACTACTTCTATGTAGAATAATAAAAACTAATGCGAAACTTATTTTTGAACTTTTTTTTAAAAAATTCTTAACAAAATTTTTTTTATTTAAATAAGTTAAAATATCTATTCAAGTAAAGCATCAAAGTGTATTACAGAACTTAAAAAGTAAAGTTTACGTATTTAGGTTTTTTAGGTCCAAAAAGGTTATTAGGTCCATTCGGTCTCATCGGTCCGGACCTAAATCATTTTGGGTTTGGACCGGAACGGACCGAAACCCAAACTCCTAAATTTTTTTGACCGAAGACCAACCCGAAATCCATTCGGTCCGGGTTCGGTTTGGACCGAACGGTCCGGTTCGGTCCGCTTTTTGTGAACAGCCCTCCCTATTTGTATGCTCATATGTTGCAAAATCAAGAACCATATGGTCAGTTGTGTTTTTGCCGAACCATCAAACAAAAATAACCACGGTGTTAGGGAATTGAACATAAGAGACGCGCAAGATTTACAAGCCCGCTTGGCAGAGGTAAAGTTTAATGAAATAAAACAACTAGTGTTACTATGGAGTGTTAATTAATACAGAGTATTTGATGGGATAATTAGGTGGAAAACAACTTACTGTTACATAAATTGGATCAGCTATCAAGAGTGATAATGAAGTACTCGAAAACAATTGAGGAGGAGAGATCGAGCCCGGTTTATAGCAGCAAGACAGAGGCACAAATGTTCCTCGAGAGCATTCAACTGATCAAGGAAATTGTCATGCCGTTTTTGGAGCTGAAATATGACTTCTTGGATGGGATAACTGTCGTTTCCCCTCTCAATCCCAAACCGCACAAGACGATTATAGTCCTCCATTGCATTGTGCAAACGAGCCACCAAACAATCAACGGTTTCCAGGTGGTTGTGAAGGACGAAAATACCCTTCGCTGCATCATCGAGTTGCACTAGACGTGCCATTTCTTCCTCGGTCATCTTGGAAGGGAAAATAAAAGGGCATATTGGAGAAGCAACCAAAGCAACGAGAGCATGGGCAGCTATAACAGTCGCAGTTATGACTACTCCAACAGTGGTCACAATTAAACACACGGCAGCTCCTTTGGTGGCTCCACGAAGAAGTTGTACCTGTAGAGATTGTAATTTTTATTTAATTATAGGTCAAAGATCGATCCTGATTGATTGTAAAAAATTCCAAACTGGTCAAATACTCGAGGGTGGAGGGAGTATGTAGTATTTTTAACAGTACCTTCGAGCGGGACTTTTGGAGATGAATGTCAAGATGATGCTTGAGCTGAGTGAAGGAGCTATGCATGTTGCTGAAGCTGTGGGAGTCTGGGCTTGGGAAGGGATTGTCTAGTTCCACAAACTTTTTGAAGGCATCAAATGCCCAAGCACATTGGGGTTGGGATAAGGAATATTTTGAGTTAGACCCGACCTTATTTTTAGCAGAACTGGAAGGGGATTCAAAGTCTATAGATAAACAGTCAAGAAGTTTATGCAGGGGGGAATATAATTGGTGAGCACGGTGGATGCACCGAGCAAGGGAGAGACATAACTGGGTTGTTTGCTCACTATGTTCAAAGTAGTTTATAACAATTTGGCTTAGCGTATAAGGTTTGATATGAGACAATGCATCTTTAACACATTCACGACTTGGTTTAAGGACCTCCTCTACTTGCAATTCTTCCTCTCCATTCCCGTGGTAAGAGGTGACTTCATAGTGAATCTTGGACCATATTTCACTATAAGAGGCACTCTGAATAGCAACGGCGTATTCTTTGGTGAGGTTGACAGATGAAGGAGTCGTTTGGTCACTTGATATCGGTGTGTTCACTGCAGTTTACAACAACAACAGATCCAGTAAAACACCATAAAAAGTAAGGTATGCAGCCCTACAGGAGCCGAAACGAGCTCCCAATAAGTGAGTATTGTTCTATCCATTCATATGTGTAATGTTTCTTCAAATACCAAAAGTTTGAAGAAAAAAAAACTAAATCAAGGAGATGTGTTTGTGAAACCTACCATCCAATTGGGTATTTGTGGACGACGACGATTGTCCGAGACATGACATCATTCTATCTGACCATATGATTCAAGTGGAAATGAAGATCATTAGTACATTATAATCCAATTAAAAAAGCAGACATTAGTACATACATTGCATACAAAACCTGCTAATAAGTGAGAAAAAGAACAAGAATGTGCACAACATGATAAGAGCAGCCCCATATATAAATACTCATATCATTGCATTAGAAGACCAAATCATTATCAGATACATTCAAAACACAAAAATGGAACTCAAATATGCTACTAGCAACCAATTACTTAACTGTTAAGTATTAGCAGAAATGTCCTTGTGAGCAATTGACTGATTCAAAATGCTAGTCTTTGTTGGTCTGAATTTCTAGTTCATAAATTATGGTTGAAGATAATGAATAATCCATAATTAGCATCTGCATTTTTATATAAGTTTTTTGGTTCACAAACTGAAAAGTATTGCAGAAGCTAAAAGAGATAAAGCTTGCAAATCAAGAAACAGACTCATAGAACAAAATAGTGAAATAAACCCATTAAAAAAATAATTTTTTTTGTAATTTTTCAAAATCAAAATATTTGGAAGCGGGAAGACTGAAGCTTTACTTCAAGGCAGTACAGATAGGCGCCAGGGGACCGATTTCTCAACAATTACAGAGGTAAAAAGTAAATCTTACCCAGCAAGAAAGGCCACTTAGGTAACTTGACAGCAGAACTGGCCAGCTTCGGTGCCGAGAGTAATGTTGCCGAATGAGAGGAAGCCGCGGCGGCGGCGGCGGCGGGGGAAATGAAATCGGAAACGGCGGCCGGAGGCGGAGCAATATTGAGCCGATGTGCTCTGAGGTTTCCCTGTGAATCGGAGGAGGAATTGCGTAGAATGTGCTGGAAATGGGAAATAGGTTACATTAAATCTTGGCGGAAAATGAAGGGAAAAAAAGAAGAAGAAGACGGCGACAATTAAAAATTAGCTGCGCTTTAATTACTCAGTCTGTACACGTTTTTGGTTTCTTGTTTTTTTGGGTTTCTGGTTTTTCTGGGTAAACATACCGAGGATTTGGACATTCGGGAGAAAAAATTGATAAATGTTTAGTTCAGACATAAAATAGTCACAAATTTCATAAATTTATTAGTTTTAAACTTTAATTAAAAAATATTGTAATTTGAAATTACTTTAAAATGAAAATTTAAATCATAAATCATAAATTTGTAAACTTTATAATTATTTTGTTTGTAAATTTAGCATTTCTTCAAGAAAATTGGGAGTGATAAAAAAGAGAGATGTATGTATTTCAAATTATAACATTATATAATTATCGGTCAAATATTGAAAATGATTGATTTTAAAATTTTGAAACTAGACAAATACTCAGAGACGGAGATATTAGTTTTAAATTATATATAAGTTTTTTTGGAATAATATTGGCTCAATTAGTAGTATATTCATATACTACATCCGTCTCACTCTCTTTGTCCACTTTTGATTTTTGGAATTGTTAATCTAAATACTTTGACTCATCAAATTCTCTCAATGTATATGCCTAAATATAGTCATGTGTGATCTTGTTTGATTTGTCTTAACATATAGATTATTAATATATAATTTCTATAATTTTTTAATATACAAATTACAAGATAAAATGGATTTAAGAAGTGCATTCGATGGTGTGCCAAAAGGTTAGTGGACAAAGAGAGTGGAACGGGAGAGAGTATTGCTTAACTTAACGGGTTTGTTTGGTAACAGTGTTTTGGATTAACGTTAGCGTCTTGGATAAAATTTTAATGGTGCAGATTAATTCTTAAAACGCTAACGCTAAAGGCTATCGTTGGATAACTTTTTCAAAACGCTAACGCTAATCTCTAACGCTGATGCCAAACGGGACCAACCACACACAAAAAGCTAAGGCCTCAACCTCGTTGGGCTTGAAAGTAGGTGAGTTTCCAATGAATTCTATGCGGTAAGCTTTGGACAACTAAAGCTAGAAGAAAAGTTCTTTAATTTTTTTTAATTCTATAGAAATACGGAGTATTAAATAAAATGATTAGAAAAATTTTAAAAATTTTGCATTATTTTGCATCATGGATTCGGAGGATGTTGTTAGACAGGACGTGATTAGTCAGAGGCTTCTCTACGGTGATTGGAATTTGTCCCCAAAATCTTGCAACAGAGAGATGTGCGGACAAGACGACGAGGGTAGAAGAAAACTGACCCCCCCCCAATGGGGTCCACAACAAACCCCCAATCTTCAACGTTCACAACCAACAGATGTCTATTTACCTGCACAGTAGCTGCTGATGGAGGTGGATGACGATGATGTTCCCGACAACATAGTCAAAACCCTCCCTCGTTAAAGATTTCGTTTTTTCCTCTCTTCCTCTCCATGCCCAGAAAAGAAAGAAAGAGATCCGGGTCGGGTGAGAGCTCCGATTATGCAGTGGCGGCAGGATCCGGCGGGCATTGAGGGTTTTGACACGTCATCGTCATCTCCCGCCGCATCCTCCACAGCTCAAAGCTGCAGGATCAAGCGGGCCATTGTGGTGGGGAATGGCAGATCTCAAACTCCCGTGCCCACCTGGAGAACGACGCCGTTTCTCCCAGCCGCCTCCGGAACAACCCGACCCGTCTCCGCCCGGAAGTTGGCCGCCGCTCTCTGGGAGATGAATGAAGTGCCGTCGCCTATGGTGATGACGACGACCAAAGACGAAATGTCTTCCTATTTCAGCGACCCATCTCAGACCCCTGTCTCTCTGGTATATATATATATATATACATATGATCTTTGTTTCTTGAAATTTTCTTAAAGTTGAGTTTTTTCCCCCCTTTTTAAAGGAAAAACTTTGCTAGTTTCCATTTTACCCGAATATGTTGAATACCCTAAGCCTGCTAATCAACAGAATCACCGAATTGAGTAGATTTTACACTAAGGGCACCAAAAAGCCTCTACTTTCAGGAATTTCTTTTGCCTAATTGCAGCCATTTTAGCCAAATTAACCTTACCAAACGGGCCCTAAGTATCGCGGTGTCGGATAAGTCATAGGCTAAGACCATGTTTGGGTGCACACATTCTCACTCATTCTATCTTGATTCATCATCATCATCCATTAGTGATTGCATTTAATTAGGTTGTGCACCTTGACAGTTATGGTTAATGTTGTTGGCCAAGAACATTCTTTGACTCCGCCTTTCTTTGAATTCGAATAGAGAAGGGATCGATCTGGAGCGAGAAGTTTTTACCAGGATTTGACGAGGCCAGCTGCTGATCACAATGTGGGATTGGATTCTCTGAGTCTTGTTGAGGTTGGAGAGCTCATCTTTTTCTTCCACTTATGTTTCATGTTGTCTGTAGTTATGTTTGATGTTTGTTGGTGTCTAACTTTATAGTATTATACATAGCACAACTTATTTTCTACCAAGATTTTTTCTTTACGCTATGTTTGGTTCAAGAAATTTGGAAGGAAAGAAAAATGACAAGGACTAGAAAAAGAAAGTCAAAGAAACCAAAAATCTTGATCTTTGTTTGGTTAGTAGAGAAACTAATGAAGAAATTACTTCTCAATAACTCCAAGAAGACATTGTTTTTTCTTACCGTTTTCTTTTCCTTTCCATTTTTGTGTTTCTTGAACCGAACAGAGTTTTAAATCGGATGGTGTGAGAACCCGGCTGAAAGACATTAGTACTGCTTTGACAACATCCAAGGACCTTCTGAAAATAATCGACCGGATTTGGGCCCACGAGGACGCGGGCCCGCCATCTTCAAGCGTGTCTATCATCTCTGCATTACGCGCTGAACTCGAACGGGCACGAATGCAGGTCCATCGTGTGATTCAAGAACAGCGCTCGGATAACCAAAACCGGGTCAGCTATCTAATGCAGCGTTTGGCTGAAGAGAAAGCGAATGCAATGCAGAAACTTGAAAGTGAACTTGAGGTAGAAAGAAAACTAAGGCGGAGATCAGAGAGCTTGAACAAGAAGCTCTGCAAGGAACTGTCTGAAACAGAAGCTGCATTCTTCAAGGCAGTCCAAACACTGGAAAGTGAGAAGAGAACGAGGGAGATCATCGAACAAACGTACAGTGAATTAGTTACCGAAAGTGGCGGCTATGGAGATGAAGCTCCAACAAGGGTAAAATTAAAAGACCATCTCTGTACAATAACAAGATGATGATGATGATGATGATGATGATGATGATGATGATGATGAAGAAGAAATGGTAGTTGATTATGCTGCTTAGCTTTTGATGAAACTTGTGACAGATTATTAACAACAACCTGTTTTTGTTCTGTGAAGTATTTCAGATGGATCCATTGGAAAAAAGTAAATTCTATAATTCTTTTTTATAACAAGAAGTTTTTCATATTTAGTACGGAGTATCTATTATCAAATATTACGTCCACGGTTCTTTTTTGGATATCTTTCCATGAATTGTCTTTTTTTAACTATGAGTCTATGACCATCTTTTTGGTACTCTCTCCGTTCTAAAACTTTCTTCCCGTTGCGCAAAACGAACAAAAATCTCAAGTTTTTTCAATCTATTTTATTTAAATATTGGTATAGAAATAAAAAATAAAACATACATATTTAAAAACTACATCAAAAGTTTAACAAAACAAGTGGTGACAAGAATATTTTATTTTGTCATATAGACCATGAAAAAACACAAATAAGTATAAATTCCCGTGAAGTTGGAATAGTGCTCTGGGAAGAAAGCTTTAGGACGGAGGGAGTATTAAATTGAAGGCTAAAAGTATAATTTGATATCAACCATATGTCAAGTGACGTATTTTAATGTTGGTTAGACGGACAATACAACAATAATCACTATAACTGTGGACTAGGATTTCGGTGAAAGCCCTCATCTACAGGCTAAGGCTCTAGTACACATCACCTGCGATTCACAAACAATACATCAGAAATGACCTTTGACATTGTATATGACAAGAAAGATATATAATTATTGGAAAAGTTCATTATTATTTCTCAAATTAACACATGATAGAAAATAAAAAACCTACTTATGGAAAAGTAATCATAAAAAAGAATTACATATATAATATTGGATAATGGAATACTAAATATGAAAAACTTCTGTTATAAAGGAGCAATTTTAGAATTTTACTCTTTAGGAAAGGTATATGAATTTATAAGGAGTATGAGATATCTCATGACGCCCACAAATTATTTAGCTTATGATAAATATTTACAAGTTATTTAACTCCAGAAAACAATATACTCCCAAGAGTCATGCTATATATATCCATCAAGGATGGTACCATTATTGTCTCAACTCTCAAACACACGATATCAAATTTTAGTGTTATTGTTCTTATTTGTAACAGAATTTGTCACGTTTCTTTTCTCTCGTAACAAAAATATTTAAGTCCAAAGATTTCCCATTTTCTTTTCTGAACAAAATTTAGTCATTAACTTTTTACTTTTCAATATTTTTCCTTAAATTCGTATAGTCAAATTGTTCCAATTAAAAAAAATTGTACCAAGTCTAATGTGGAGTAAATGAAGATGGAGATTTGGTTAAGCGCATCCTACCAACGAGGCGAGCCTTAAGCCCATTGGACTCATAACCCGTTTGCATTATGGTTCAATTCCAGTGTTTTGATAAGTTATTAACCGGGCCGGTCAATAACTTTTGGAGCTCCGATACATAAACTCCGTAATAAGTCTTCTACAGTGGTACCCGGTTGCTTTTAGACATGATTGAAGTATGGGTCGGGCTGGATTTCGGTCGGATTGAGACGCCATATTACAAAAAAATTAGGCCCAAGTCCGGCCCGTATTACAAAAAAATTAAGGAATGGATAATTTTAAGTTGACTTTCCAAAAATACCCTTGATGTGATAAGTAAAAGTATGATGTGATGTGTAGATTATTTGGAAAAATGTATGATGTGATAGGTAGGGTTTAAAAAAGTAAGAGGTAAAAGTGGTTTTTTAATAGAAATGGGTAGGAGATTGTGGGACGCAATTTTTTAGAAAAGTGTAAATCGTTTTGGGATGGAGGGAGTACTTTTGTTTGGTAATATTCCATAATTTATTTTTTAATATGCAATGTGCTTTTGTTTGGTAATATTCTATTATTTATTTAATATTATTATCACAGTATGATAATTAATAATAAAAATTGTATTCATTTGATTAAATATACTTATAAAAAAATATGTTCTTTTTCTCCATAAAAATATGCATGTGTGTATATATTGTGTATATAATAACACTCCGTAATAATTAAATAGTATTATTATTGTTGCTATTATTATTGTTGTTATTACGGAGTATTATTTTATGATAACTATGATGATGATCATAATAATAATAATAATAATAATAATAATAATAACAACAATAATGTATTCGGGTCGGGCCAGCCCACGGGCTGGAACACAAAATTTGAGCCCGGACCTAAGGTATGCATGCCTCTATTTATAAAGCCTAAGCCTGGCCCGTACCCTAAAATATCAAGCCAAACTCGCTATTTTGCAGGCGGGCTGGGTACTCGAGCTCGTGATCAGGTCTACTTTTCTAACACTATGTTTGGTTCAAAAAATTGAGAGAGAAAGGAAAAGAAAATGAGAAATAAAATGTTTTTCTTGTTTGGCTAGAGAGGAAAAGAAAAGAAAATAAGAAGACAAAATATGCTAACACTATGTTTGGTTCAAGAATTTGGAAGGAAAAGAAAAGGAAAAAAGGTTCCACTCATTTTCTTCACCAAAATAAGAAGATTCTGGTTTTCCCTCCTCTTAGTACGTAATATTTGTCTTCTAATTTTCTTTTCTTTCTCCTTTTCTTTTCTTTTTCTCTCTAACCAAACAAAAAATATTATTTTCCATCTCATTTTTTTTTCTTTTCTCTTTCAAATTTCTTGCACCAAACATAATGTAAGAAGAGGGAAAACTAAATTCTTTACATTTTAGTGAGAAAAGTGAAGGAAAACTAATTTCTTTTCTTTCAAATTTCTTGAATTAAAAATAGGCTCCATTTGCGTTATCGTTATGAAATGGCTATTCGACGATAGCTTTTAGCGTTAACATTGTTAGAATTAATCTAGACTATTAAAATTTTTATCGTAAAAGCTAACGTTAATCTAAAACAATGTGCCCAAACAAGGCCATAGTGTAAAAGTAAAAAATAAATTACCCCACTTATATTAATTTGCTATGGTGTTAGCCTTAAAACATTTTTAATGTTTTAAATTAAAATAATTTTTTTTTAAATGTGTATATAAGACGAATTATTTAACACCTTAACCGCCTTATATTTTTCTTTTCTTTTTATTTTTTACAATATGTGATATAAAATTTTTGAAATTTATTTAGAAGAATGAAAAAAATTATGTAACACATCATTTACCTTGTTAGGAAAATAAAAAAGTATACTTTAAAACTAACTAATAAAATAGAGGCACTAATCAAATTAATTCGGGATGAAAAAAGTGTGTCTATTGAGTAATGGATTAATTATATTATTCAAAGAATAATGAAATAAATGGCAAAGTATGTAGAGGGGGAATTACAACCTCAACTATGAAGAAATAAATAATAGAAGGTGATTAAAATATAAATACTACCATAACTAATCTACCATAATTATTTTTATTTTAACTGTCTAACACCCCCCTCAAGCTTAACTCGTGTCACAAGTGGAAGTTTGAAAATAAAAGTGAAACCAAGGAGAAGATAGCGGCTTCATGAGTAAGTCTGCTAGAAGTAGAGAGACAGATATTCATTGTCCGGCGAACAAGCTTGATTGTGCATGTGTTGAGTTTTATTCTGGCAGCGAGTGTTGGTGATTGAAGCGAGGACGAGGATTTTCCATTTTTCTCCTTTTTGGCCATTCTATGTTTTTCTATCGTTTTCATGCTCTCAATTTCTAAAAAACACAAACAAGTACAACTTTGTAGCTCTCTGATCACAAACACAGATTTTTTAGGGAAAGAGAAGGATAAAGGAAGACAGCTGCTAGGCACATCAATGACAATTGTTAAGCACCCACAATGTTTCTTTCTTTTTTACTTTTTTTAAAGAGAGAGGGGGGGATAAGGGGCAATGATGCCACGATCTAGCTAATGCGGTTGATTGTCAAAGAAGAAGACCGGTGGTGGCGCACGGTCGCAGAAGAAGGGAGACTAGGATTTTGAGAAGAGATGTCTTAACTTCGATACCATATTGAATAATGAAATAATTGTATTATTCAAAGAATAATGGAATACATGGCAAAGCATAGAAGGGATTATAACCCGAATTACAAATAGAAATCAATAATAGAAGCTAATTAAAATACAAATATTACCAAAACCAATACTACCATAATTGATATAATAATATTCTTATAATTGTCTAACAGTGTCATCTAAAAATCAACAAGCTAATTAATAACGGTCCGGTTCGAGTGACACCGAAAAACGGTGACACTGGGTTTTTGGGGCACCTCCGGTGCTCCGTTCGTAAAATTGACGGTTCCTACCCCCCCTAACCCACCCCCTAAACCCCCCACCCTACCCCCACCCCTGCACCCCCACCCCAATCCCGCCGTAACCCCCCCACAAAATGTGTGGCTATTATG